TGATTACCAAAAGTCCTAAAATGATATACATATGACAAATTACCCTAAACTAATTTTTGGGCAATTAAAATTTGACGAAAATTAATGGAGGGCAAATATGTTACGCGTGTACAAGTTTTGGAGGTTTTTGATAATCCAAAAATTAGTTCGGAATAAATTTGTCACCGACGTACCAATTTGAAGTTTTTTCGTCATCCCAAAATTAATTTACGATAAATTTATCATAAGCATATCGATTTATGATTTTTCGTGATATTAATTCCTTTAGCGTGTCGGGCAACCCAAAACCGATGCCACGCGTGACGTGCAGCGCGAAACCGACATCGCACATGGCGAAGGCGTCCTCGCTTGCGGCAGCGACATAGCCCTTGTCCGTTTCCCCGCTTTCATCGGAAACCCCAGGACGGAGTCGAGACGAGAGAGGGCCAAGGACTCTTTCCCTACTTTACAGAAAAGCTCGAACCGTAAACCCCCAAAAGACGCTCTCCCTCTCTCTCTCTAATCATGAACCAAGATCGATGACGTCACCGTCCCCGTCACGTGGGGCCGGACCAACGGGAGCCCTGCTGACGTCAGCAGGGACAAAGGGACCATGAATCTAGCCTCGTCGTACGAGGAAAAAGCATGCGCGATTTTTTTTTTACCTATTTAATCCAACATGGGAGGAGGGAGGGCGGCGCGTGAAATGTGATTATTATTTCGGAATTTCGAGCCTCGACTCATTTAATTCCACGTGGCAAATTCTGGTGACGAACTGTTAAAAAGTTTTCATCCTTTTTTTTTTTTGGTTGGGATAAAGACAGAGCTCGTAAAAAGTTTGGTCGGCATGAAATTGGCACTAATAAACAAGTGGATGAGATCATGGCCTACGCCATTAATTACTAATGGGGGTTCAATAATTGCTTATCCCATTATTTGTTCCGTAACGCCAAAGGGTTATCCGATTAGTCGAGCCATGTACTGATGTGGACTCTGGGGAACAACGTCCCGAAAGTTAGCTATCGAAGCGAGAGATAGCCCACGTCACTATAATTCACGCCCCCGAGGGCTCGTGCCGTCGGTATGGGATGCAAGTCCGACATCTTATAATTAGGATCATAACCGATAACATCCAATGTGCACTAAAGGTCCACATGCTGAGTGAACTATAAAACCCACCAACAACGGAACGAAGGAAAATCTCGTGACGTGCTCGTCGTCGAATAGATCGGGAATAATTAGCAGCTATTGAAACTAGATGAATGCTTCGATGGTTGCGAAATCCTTGGTTCCGGCCTTAAAATCAACATAGCATGTCGAATCACACTTGGCACTTACGTTAACCGTCATTTCATTAATTAAAATTAAAAAAAGAAGAAGAACATAAACCGACGGTGGATGGAGCCTATTTTATGAAATGCTCTGGATTAGTCGATAAATCTATTCCTGGTCATACCTATTTTTATTTCTTGTAACCCGGATAGATAGAGCCGGCCCAGAGCAGTTTGCGCCGGATCGATTATATTAGAATATACGGCCTCTAGTTTCCAAACCGAAAGTTTCCTAATGCCGTAACCGTAATCAAACTGTTTGTGACCCTTGGGTTTCCTAATCGCGCCGATTAAATTATAATTCATTCGTAGCCGTTGATGTCCTGCACCCAAATTCAATCCGACGGCATCGCTAACCATTATTACTATTATTTTAATTTGAAGCAGTACAAACAGGAGGGCGGCGGGGGGGGTCGCGGCTTTGGCTTCATCCCAAAGCAATATCTAGGCAAGTATCTAATCTTATCCAATGTCTATTATATTAATTAGATCGAAAGAATTTTTATAAAAAAAATTGCAAATTAAAAGCGTGGTACCCAAGAGAAGTTGAGAAGGAGACAAAGGGCCATGAGTAGTAATGAGCTGGTAATCTAATTCACCGACCAGAAAAAATCAATGTAATTAATGGCTGTAGCAAGGCATAAGCTCCGAGGGTTTAAATGCGACTCTTCAAAGGTTGGAGTTTTATGTGCATGGTCTCGAAATTCGTGGGTACATTGAAAATTTTTCTCTTTGCTTATTTGCATTCTACGGATCATATGATTTGTACCCATGTTCGCACCACCTCAGCATGACGTTCGCACCACCTCATCAGACGTCGCGAATATATAATACCATCTATATGCTAGAGTTAAAAAAAAAAAGGGAAGATTTCGAGCATTGTTGTTATTTCAAAAAAAATGTGGTACATAGAATTCGCTTAATTAACCCTCGAAAAATTTCTGGGAGTCGGATGCATGATCACATGTTTTTTCAAGAAAAAGAAAACTGTCATCTTGATTTGTCGATTACATTGGATTGTCACGAACTACACTTTCATATTGGGGAGTGGTTGGCTACATGCTGTCACATGCCATTAGATTAATAGGAAGAAAACAAAAGCATTATTAGAAAAATCTCTCCACGAAATCCATAATAATAATAATAATATTTAATATTTAATCATCCGAAAAAAAATAAAAGAAAAAAATGGGGGATTAATCCCATTTCCACCTTCCTTCCATCCATATTTTAATCATCCTTCCATATTGGGGATTAATCATAAATTTTTTTTTACGGGCCCGCCGAATCCTGAAAAAAAAAAAGGTTCTTAAGTAAGCGTAGTAGGTGAGAGTAGGGGCGGCCGCCGCCTGATAGAGGCAGAAGCCGGGGCCACCGGAGCTATTTGCGTCAAGTGTGTCGATTGAAAGAGGAGGGGAGACAACTCAAATGCCAGCGCAAAAATAGAAAGAGTCGTGCCCTTCAAAGTTGAATTCTTCTAAGATCCATTGCTCGATTTTGCATGCTCTGCTCCCAAAATGCAGAGATAATTTCGAGGGCAGATCCGGGTTGGTTGGTCCGAAAAGTCATGGGAGAGGCAGGCTAAGTGAAATAAAATAAGATACCGGTGCAACTATTGAATCTTATGAATCACGCACGGCACACTTTCTATATCGCTTGGAAGAAAAGAAAAAGGAAAAGAAAGAAAGAAAAAAGAAATAGAAAAATTCAGAAATTTTAAAAAAATAATTAAAAATTTCAGAAAATTAAAAAATAATTAAAAAAGTTGTCTTTGTTAGTGGCGGTTGTGCCATGTAGGATGGTCAGCATCACGTCAGCAATTTCCAGTTAAAATTGACTAGATAAACTCAATTGACAAAAACATGAACAATGTTTAGGACTGAATTGAGATAAGTGTAATAAGTTTAAGACTTTTTTGGTAATTTCCTTGCAAATGGACAGAGCACGTGAACGGGAAATGTGAATTATATGGGACGATAGAGAGGAGAGAGAGGCCCTTTGATTGGTTGGGAAATGGTTGGTTCTTGTAGTCGTCAATGGAATGAGATTATACAACGGCGGATTCGAGAAGAGAGTCGAATCATTCATAAAAATAGGAAAAGATAATTTCCGCATGCACTGCTAAAATTGGATGAAAACGCGTGTACTTGGAAGTGTTCATCGTGCTCGTGCGCTACCACTTGAGACCTCAATGATATACTGTATCATGCAAGGAACTTTTGATGATCAGCTTCTTTGTAGATGAATTTGATAGGCAGTGCTTTAGGAAGCTTCAAAGAGTCTGAACATTCCTTGCTTTCTTTCAACTCGGTATGATGATCAATAGAGCGGGTCTGATTAAGCACCTGTGTTTGATGGGGAAAGACAGCGAGTGTGGTTTGATCTGTCGATGAGGACAAGGCTCCTGGGCCAGCAGGTTTCGCTTTCCTGCTTCTTCTGTCAAAAGTCGCTTGGCCTGTTGTTGGGACCGAGTTCGTGGCTGCTGTTACTGATTTCTATCGGTCATCCAGGCTGATGAGAAAAGGGTGAATGTGACAGCAATTGCTCTTAAGGTTGAAGTGCTTCAAACGTGACTTGTGAACAAATGTTTAAAAGTTTAAGGACCTTAAAAATTCAGAAACGATATTGCATATTAGATCAAAGTTCAAAAACCACATTATCGACTACAACAATTACCAAAGTACCCCTAAGGCATTTACATGATTGAACCTTTCTTAATTTAAGAAATAGCGTGAAAAATTTGGTTTTTATACTATTAAATTATCATCTTCTATCTTTCCCAAAAAAAATTATCATCTTCTCCCGACCTTTCGTCTTCACCATTTCAGCATCGATGTGGACTGTTTCGGCAGGCATATTCCAATACGAGAAATAGCTAGACGGAAGATCCGAGCGCAATAATCCAACGATAAAAAAAGGTCGCACATCTGCTATTTTTAGGTGCAGAGAATCCCCGACTTTCGACACACGTCGGGTGGGTCCATAGCGATGAGCTCGTGAACGCACGGGCGGGATGGGCAATCGGTGGCCCGAACCGAACGTTTCGAAACGGGAATGATCAGAGGGATCGGGAATGCTTATAATTACGAGAACGCCCCTAGCCATTTGCCCCCCAAGATCGTCGAAGCTTCGCCCTCCAAAATTTCAACGGATGCCGTCGATGTCCTCCTGCGCGATTTATTTACCAAAATCGACGCGATTAGTAGCAAGTCGTGAATGCGACCGGCGCTAGCCGAGCGATCCCCAACCGTTTTCCCGTTCACGCTTATCCACACCGTCCGATCGACGCACCGATCTCCGTGATAACCCGATCTCGGTCCGTCCAGCGATTCGCCCTCGCCGAGGGCTCAGGTTGGTCGCGACGCAGGCGATCCCTTCCCACTTCCAGCGCCTTCCACCACCCCCCCACACCAGTATTTACGCTCGTGCCATTCCAGAACCTTCCCCCCTCAGATCTCCCCCCCCCCTCCCTCCCCGCCGCCCGATCGGCCACGCGTACGGCCCTCGTTTTACCTGGCCCGAGAAACCGCACCTAAAAAAAAAAAAAGGGAAAGAACTTATTTCTTACTGCCCTTTTCCGGGAAATTTCGTTCCCATTTTCAACCCACCGAGTCCTCTCAATCTCTCTATTTATACCCCCTCCGGCACACGTTCCCACCTGCAACCAGAAACCGCCATAGCCAACAGCTCCCCAGGCTCTCTCTCTCTCTCTTCTGCCTCTCTCTCTGAGTGCGCGACCTTGACCGCCCTTCGCTTCCACGTCTCATGGCGCCCGAACTCGTGCCCGCCTCGGTGAAGCCCGCCGCCGCGGGGGCGGCGGCCCGGGCCTACGTGACGTTCTTGGCCGGCGACGAGGGCTACGTGAAGGGCGTGGTCGGGCTGGCCAAGGGGCTGCGGAAGGCGGGGTCGGCGTACCCGCTGGTGGTGGCCGTCCTCCCGGACGTGCCGGCGGAGCACCGGCGGGTCCTGGTGGAGCAGGGGTGCGTGGTCCGGGAGATCGAGCCCTTGTACCCGCCCGAGAACAAGACCCGGTTCATCATGGCGTACTACGTCATCGCCTACTCCAAGCTCCGTATCTGGGAGGTACGTGGACGGTATCATCATGTTAATGGCCGAAAAGTAAAGTCGGCCGTTACACTTGTACGACGTTTCGACGTATTGATCTGTCAGCATGAGTAGCATGCGTTAACGTTCAACAAATCTTGTTATTTGGCTGTAAACTGTTGTTTGAACCATGAACCTGTCGTAAAGTCCGTCTCTTTGCGTGTACTGAATGGTTCTTCCCGCTTTATCGCAGTTCGTGGAGTACAGCAAGATGATATACTTGGACGCCGACATCCAGGTGTTCGAGAACATCGATCACCTTTTCGACCTGGAGGACGGCTACATCTACGCTGTGATGGATTGCTTCTGCGAGAAGAGGTGGTGGGGCCACACCCCGCAGTATGCCATTGGGTACTGCCAGCAGTGCCCCGACAAGGTCCAGTGGCGTGGCGAGATGGGCCCGCCCCCATCCCTCTACTTCAACGTTGGCATGTTCGTGTACGAGCCCAGCCTCGCCACCTACAACGAGCTCCTGAGCACTCTCAAGATCACCCCTACCACCCCGTTCGCGGAGCAGGTACATTGTTAATCTCGATCCGCCACCTTCCGTGCTCGACTACGGTCCTGTTACGTGTCTTGATAGATGAATTCTGTTTCTGTTGATTTGCGCAGGACTTCTTGAACATGTACTTCGGCAAAATATACAAGCCCATCCCACTTGTGTACAACCTCGTCATGGCCATGCTGTGGCGCCACCCCGAGAACATCGAGCTCGAGAAGGTGAAGGTCGTCCACTACGACGCCGTGGTGAGTGATCGATACGTGTGATTGACAACACAGTCGGTCAAAAACAATAGATTGTTGATCGTTAGCATCCAATTCTTGCCAGGGTTCGAAGCCATGGAGGTACACCGGGAAGGAGGAATACATGCAGAGAGAGGACATCAAGATGCTGGTCAAGAAATGGTGGGACATCTATGAGGACGAGTCCCTCGACTACAAGAGCTGCCCTCGCGCAGCGGCAGCGGCAGCTGGGGCGGGGGCCGAGGTCGGGGCTGAGCCGGTCAATATGGAGCCGTCCATTGCCACCCTGTCGCAAGCCGGCGCGGTCCACTACGTCATGGCACCTTCGGCCGCTGAGCGCCCGGGCTCCGATCTCCGGCCCTTATAGAGAGATTTGATGCAAATAACTTTGGAGATGCAAACACCTAGAGTTTGCTCTGTCTAGGCAAGTGGGTGGGAGAATCTTCCTTTAGAAGGATCACTGTCTCATATGGTAAAAATAGGCTACTTTAACTTGAGGTCAATTAATGTTTTTATCTTTATTTTTTTAGGGCCTTGTCACTTTTAATTTTTTTTAAGGATGGCGAAATATAAATATATAAGAAAAGCCTATTGACTTGAGTTTTGACTCCTCTTATTTTTTCTTTTTTCATCTAATCACGGATAAAATGATTGTATTTTATTAAATAAAACGCACCTATTCATCACCGTGTGCACTTACTTTTCTTTTTCGATGATTGATTTTCCAAAGTTAAGGGTTTAATTTGGGATATTGGCTCGACTTTATTCGGTGCACTTTTCATTGTCGGTAGTTGCACAAAATTAGCAATTTGCTGCGGACAGCGGTGGGAAATGAAAGTATCAAAGGGGTCAAATTAAATCACTTCTGCCCAACTTTATCTCACTTACTTTTTGCGGATGATTTAATACTCTTCCTTGCAGGAAAGATTGTTGAGTGTCAAAATGTGGTAGCGGTTCTGGATCAATACTGTTTTGCGTCTGGACAAGCACTAAATCTGAACAAGTCGGGTATGTTTTTCAGCAAAGACTGCCCAAGGGAATTAAGAAGAAATATGACATACAAGCTGAGAGTTCCCGAGATAGAGAAGACAGGGAAGTATTTGGGAATTACCATCCGACTGGGGCTGCTAAAAAAAACAAATGTTTGCTTGGATCCTCGATAGAGTCAATAAGAAACTGGAAGGTTGGAAAGAATTTTTTTTATCTAAGGCAGGGAAAGAAATCCTCCTTAAAACAGTGGTGCAAGCTCTACCGCAGTATGCAATGTCCATCTTCAAAATCCCCCTATCCATTTGTCGAACTATTGAAAGGAAAATTGCAGCTTTCTGGTGGAAAAATTCTGAAAACAGGAGGGGGTTACACTGGAAAAACTGGGACACTCTTAAAGCAAGAAAGGATGAAGGTGGCCTAGGTTTTCGAGACTTAATTACATTTAATGAGGCAATGTTGGGGCGACAGGCATGGAGACTAATCCAGAATCCATACTCTCTCTGGAGTCGGCTTTTTAAAGGATTGTATTATCCTCATACAGATTTATTACATGCAAAAAAAGGTTCAAGTCCCTCATGGGGATGGCGAAGCTTGATTTTAGGCCGTAATGTAATCAGTCAGTCAATTCGATGGGTGGTTGGAAATGGTGAGAAAATCAACATAAGGGAAGATAAGTGGCTGTCGAGAGGCTTGATTGGAGGGCCTGCGAACAGAGAGGATCCAACTCGGGTATCCGAACTAATGGTCAGAGAGGAAGCCAAATGGAATGAAAAAAGGGTGAGAGAGGTGTTTGACTTTGAAACAACCTAGGAAATTTTAGCCATTCCCATTAACCCCCAACTTCCAAAGGACAAATTGGTGTGGACACCAACCAAAACAGGGCAGTTCACAGTGAAGAGTGCGTATAACAACATCAAAGCACAAAAAGAAACACCAAACCCGAATCAAGCTTCAACGTCGTACCAAACCCCAGAGAATTATGGAATAGAATTTGGAAGGCAAAATTACAACCCAAAATTAGATTTTTCTTTGGCAAGTTTGCCAAAACGCCCTCGCAACTAAGGAGAATCTGGTTCGAAAACGGATCATACCTGAAGCCACTTACTTGATATGTCAACAAAATCCAGAATCCATAGAGCATCTGTTTCGCTATGCCCCTGGACTCAGCAAATATGGAACAACCCATTAGTAAATATTGAAGTTGATAGGTACGCAGTGACTCGGATAGAGGAATGGTTGCTGAATTTTAAACATACCTCTGTATCATTTGAGCTCCTTGCTTTTTTATTATGGCAGATTTGGAAATCTCGGAACGACTTGGTATTCAGAGCTCATAAGTTAAACCCCAACACATCGTCATCTCAACCATCGCCACGGAGAAAAACCTCAAGGCGCAAATGGTCGAGAAAACGAATGGAAAACCGCAAACACGGAAAGAATTACCTCCGATTTGGACCCCCTCCTCCCGGGATGATTAAAATTAACGTAGATGGGTCTTTTGTTGCCGAAACAGGGGAAGGTGCCATTGGTATCGTGTGATTCGTTGGAAATCAGCAGGTATCTTGATAGATGGGTTTGCTCGAATTCGGCAATTCGTTATTTGCCGAGATTTGGAAATTTCTTTTGCGAATGTTCGTTAAATTTGCAAAAATTTTGTTGGAAATTCCAACTACTGTTGGAATTTACTTGAAGCCTTAAAACATTATGAAGCAAAAAGTGAACTGAAAATCGTGTGTAGAGATAGATTGAACCTGATCTGGTGGAGATGGAGATGATGAGCGAGGAACGAGATCAAGTGAGTTGGGAAGCTTATGCATTGATCACCGAAAGTCATGGGAGAGGCAGGCTAAGTGAAATAAAATAAGATACTGGTGCTACTATAGAATCTTATGAATCACGCACGGCACACTTTCTATATGGCTTGGAAGAAAAGAAAAAGGAAAAGAAAGAAAGAAAAAAGAAATAGAAAAAATTAGAAATTTTAAAAAATTAATTAAAAATTTCAGAAAATTAAAAATAATTAAAAAAGTTGTCTTTGTTAGTGGCGGTTGTGCCATGTAGGATGGTCAGCATCACGTCAGCAATTTCCAGTTAAAATTGACTAGATAAACTCAATTGACAAAAACATGAAAAATGTTTAGGACTGAATTGACATAATTGTAATAAGTTTAAGACTTTTTTGGTAATTTACCTGCAAATGGACAGAGCACACGAACGGGAAATGTGAATTATATGGGACGATAGAGAGGAGAGAGAGGCCCTTTGATTGGTTGGGAAATGGTTGGTTCTTGTAGTCGTCAAATGGAATGAGATTATACAACGGCGGATTCGAGAAGAGAGTCAAATCATTCACAAAACTAGGAAAAGATAATTTCCGCATGCACTGCTAAAATTGGATGAAAACGCGTGTACTTGGAAGTGTTCATCGTGCTCGTGCGCTACCACTTGAGACCTCAATGATATACTACATCATGCAAGGAACTTTTGATGATTAGCTTCTTTGTAGATGAATTTGATAGGCAGTGCTTTACGAAGCTTCAAAGAGTCTGAACATTCCTTGCTTTCTTTCAACTCGGTATGATGATCAATAGAGCGGGTCTGATTAAGCACCTGTGTTTGATGGGGAAAGACAGCGAGTGTGGTTTGATCTGTCGATGATGAGGACAAGTCTCCTGGGCCTGCAGGTTTCGCTTTCCTGCTTTTGTCAAAAGTCGCTTGGCCTGTTGTTGGGACCGAGTTCTTGGCTGCTGCTACTGATTTCTATCGGTCATCCAGGCTGATGAGAAAAGGGTGAATGTAATAGCAATTGCTCTTAGTCCCTAAGGTTGAAGTGCTTCAAACATGACTCGTAAACAAATGTTTAAAAGTTCGAGGACCGTATTGAAAAATTTAAAATTCAGAAACGATATTGCATGTTGGACCAAAGTTCAAAGACCACATTATCGACTACAACAATTACCAAAGTACCCCTAAGGCATGGTGGCGGATCCTCGATTATCAAAAAAAAAAAAAGTACCCCTAAGGCATTTACAATATTGAACCTTTCTTAATTTAAGAAAGAGCGTAAAAAATCTGCTTTTTATACTATTAAATTATCATCTTCTATCTTTCCCAAAAAAAATTATCATCTTCAATGTTTCCAAAAAAAAAACTATCATCTTCTATTATTTAGGAATAATTATATCCAAAAAAGAGTTATAGTAAGTGTGGGACGGTTTCTTTCCAAATTTGATATACTAAGTAATGTGACAAACACTCGTCGGAGGACTCTAACCAATTTTATTTGCACTTAATTACATCGCTGCTTGATCCGATGATTTTATAAATCCAATCTTAATTTGTCAAACAAACCCCTCATTATTAAATTGATGAACACAATTGGTTTATCAACGCATCCAATTATTATGGGCCGTTGAACATAATCCACTTGTGCTCCATCTTTCTTTTCTTCTCAAATTTAGCAATCGGGTCGTGTCCGTGCTAGTTTCCATGCGATTCAAGACATCACTGATGTCTTAAACCGTGAATGCGACCGGCGCTAGCCGAGCGATCCCCAACCGTTTTCCCGTTCGCGATTATCCGCACCGTCCGATCGACGCGCTGATCTCCGTGATAACCCGATCTCGGTCCGTCCAGCGATTCGCCCTCGCCGAGGGCTCAGGTTGGTCGCGACGCAGGCGATCCCTTCCCACTTCCAGCGCCTTCCATCACCCCCCCCCCCACACCAGTATTTACGCTCGTGCCATTCCAGAACCTTCCCCCCTCAGATCTCCCCCCTCCCTCCCCGCCGCCCGATCGGCCACGCGTACGACCCTCGTTTTTCCTGGTCCGAGAAACCGCACCTAAAAAAAAAAAAAGGTAAGAATTTATTTCTTTCTGCCCTTTTCCGGGAAATTTCGTTCCCATTTTCACCCCCCGAGTCCTCTCAATCTCTCTATTTATACCCCCTTCGGCACACGCTCACCCCTGCAACCAGAAACCGCCATAGCCAGCACCTCCCCAAGCTCTCTCTCTCTCTCTCTCTTCTGCCTCTCTCTCTCTGAGTGCGCGACCTTGACCGCCCTTCGCTTCCACGTCTCATGGCGCCCGAACTCGTGCCCGCCTCGGTGAAGCCCGCCGCCGCGGGTGCGGCGGCCCGGGCCTACGTGACGTTCTTGGCCGGCGACGAGGGCTACGTGAAGGGCGTGGTCGGGCTGGCCAAGGGGTTGCGGAAGGCGGGGTCGGCGTACCCGCTGGTGGTGGCCGTCCTCCCGGACGTGCCGGCGGAGCACCGGCGGGTCCTGGTGGAGCAGGGGTGCGTGGTCCGGGAGATCGAGCCCTTGTACCCGCCCGAGAACCAGACACGGTTCATCATGGCGTACTACGTCATCGCCTACTCCAAGCTCCGTATCTGGGAGGTACGTGGACGGTATCATCATGTTAATGGCCGAAAAGTAAAGCCGGCCGTTACACTTGTACGACGTTTCGACGTATTGATCTGTCAGCATGAGTAGCATGCGTTAACGTTCAACAAATCTTGTTATTTGGCTGTAAACTGTTGTTTGAACCATGAATCTGTCGTAAAGTCTGTCTCTTTGCGTGTACTGAATGGTTCTTCTCGCTTTATCGCAGTTCGTGGAGTACAGCAAGATGATATACTTGGACGCCGACATCCAGGTGTTGGAGAACATCGATCACCTTTTCGACCTGGAGGACGGCTACTTCTACGCTGTGATGGATTGCTTCTGCGAGAAGAGGTGGTGGGGCCACACCCCGCAGTCTGCCATTGGGTACTGCCAGCAGTGCCCCGACAAGGTCCAGTGGCGTGGCGAGATGGGCCCGCCCCCATCCCTCTACTTCAACGCTGGCATGTTCGTGCACGAGCCCAGCCTCGCCACCTACAACGAGCTCCTGAGCACTCTCAAGATCACCCCTACCACCCCGTTCGCGGAGCAGGTACATTGTTAATCTCGATCCGCCACCTTCCGTGCTCGACTACGGTCCTGTTACGTGTCTTGATAGATGAATTCTGTTTCTGTTGATTTGCGCAGGACTTCTTGAACATGTACTTCGGCAAAATATACAAGCCCATCCCACTTGTGTACAACCTCGTCATGGCCATGCTGTGGCGCCACCCCGAGAACATCGAGCTCGAGAAGGTGAAGGTCGTCCACTACGACGCCGTGGTGAGTGATCGATACTTGTGATTGACAACACAGTCGGTAAAAAACAATAGATTGTTGATCGTTAGCATCCAATTCTTGCCAGGGTTCGAAGCCATGGAGGTACATCGGGAAGGAGGAATACATGCAGAGAGAGGACATCAAGATGCTGGTCAAGAAATGGTGGGACATCCATGAGGACGAGTCCCTCGACTACCAGAACTGCCCTCGCGCGGCGGCAGCGGCAGCCGGGGCCGGGGCCGAGGTCAGGGCCGAGCCGGTCAATATGGAGCCGTCCATCGCCACCCTGTCGCAAGCCGGCACGGTCCACTACGTCACGGCACCTTCGGCCGCTGAGCCCCCGGGCTCCGATCTCCGATCTCCGGCCCTTGTAGAGAGATTTGATGCAAATAACTTTGGAGATGCAAACACCTAGAGTTTGCTCTGTCTAGGCAAGTGGGTGGGAGAATCTTCCTTTAGAAGGATCATAGTCTCATATGGTAAAAATAGGCTACTTTAACTTGAGGGCAATTAATGTTTTTTACCTTTGTGTTTTTTAGGTCCTTGTCACTTTTAATTTTTTTTAAGGATGGCGAAATATGAATATATAAAAAAAGCCTATTGATTTGAGTTTTGACTTCTCTTATTTTCTCTGTTTTCATCTAATCACGGATAAAATAAATGTATTTTATTAAATAAAATGCACCTGTTCATCATCGTGTACACTTACTTTTCTTTTTTGATAATTGATTTTTCAAAGTCAAGGGTTTAATTTGGGATATTAGCTCGACTTTATTCGGTGCACTTTTCATTGTCGGTAGTTGCACAAAACTAGCAATTGAGAATCGAAAGACCGGCTGTTCGCGCTTTCTAGAAAAGTACGTTTATCTAAATATAGGAAAAACTATAAAATTACAAAAAGCAAATTTTTGCTGGACATTAGCAGCAGCAAGGCTCAGACGACGTCGTAGAATGCCCAACGCCCAAGAAGATAAGTGAACGCCCAAGAAGATAAGTGAATGCCCAACGCCCAAGAAGATAAGTGACGTTACGCCTTCGGACAAAGAGGCAACTCCACATTCATGAACATGATGATACTGAGAGTTTTCGCTGGTCAAAACTAGTAATAGACCGTGGTCCAATGGCCAGTGGCAACTGCTTCATTCGATAAAAACAATGACCCTATCTAGTGTTTGGTGATGTCTTCGAACTAGATATATTTGGATAAAATATCGGATGAGAAATTCGGACTAGGGAGTGGAATAGATTCGGATTGATTAAAAATATAAAAAGAAAGAAAAAGAACATAACGATTTCCTTCCAACGATGGAGTATGGCTTTGCCGGCCACCGCACAAGGACCGCTAGAACAACAACAACCTATCATGTGCAATTGCTATCCGTTTCCGACCCACAACGAACGTCATCGCCGTCCAACCGATTGTCCTCCGACGACTGTCAAACCGAATTGGCTATCGCTGATGAATGACCCAAAATCGATGGGCTAACCGGTCGTCTTTGAAAAAGAAGAGAAGAAAAAAACCAAAACGCACAAAGTTTTGGGTGTTCGTATATTGGTCATGAACGGTGGTCACTTGATTTCGCCGTGATGCTTCAACATCCGATCCCGTCCTTTATTACAGATTCGAGACTCTGTGCTGACAATCGAAAGATTTCAAAAGAGAAGGAGGAAGAGCTCCGGCGAAAACGGTGATCACTCAAAATGGTGCTAGTCTCGGCCGTGCAAGATTAGTCAAGAGGATGCTGCCCTAGATTTGGAAAATATCACCTCCGTGAGCAAGTGAGATTTTCAAAGATTATGAATCCTATTTTGGAAATGATTTTGTACAATCCGGAGGATATTTGAAGGATTTCTAATCCCGTTTTATCTTATCCTATCACAATTTAAATCCGAATGATCAAACGCGGTTAAGGATCACCGCAAGAAGAGTAAATCATGGAACTGACGAGATCACCCTCACCAGAACCCAAAGGTTATTTCAGTACACTGAGCAACAATGCAAAGATATACACATCCCGGTAAGATAAGTCAAAAGAGCAGCTTGATGGCTAGCAATATGGTACTTGCTCCTTGCTCACCACCATCTCCATCTTCACTTTTGTTGTGAATTTCATGTGTCTCTCCATCTCGAAATGATGTGTCTGACCAACCGTGACGACGTGCAGTTGAATTATAAAAATAATTATAAATTTATTATATTTATGTCAATTTAATTCTAAATATTTTGATAATTTATTAATTGAGTCCTTTTGGCCAATCGTTGACATGGATGCCGGCCATTTTATGTGTCACGGCTAGCAATGACTTGGACAATTTTTGTAAATTTTAAAAAAATTTAATTTTTTTTATTTTTTCTTTGCTTTTTTTTTTTTTTTTCATTTTGCTGGCGAGAATCACCAGCAATAGTCGCCGGCAGCGAAGGCCCTTGCCCTCGGCCGTGATGGCGTTGCCCACGGCCGGCAGCGCCGTGGGCAAGGCCTTCTAGGCCGGCGAGGGTCGCACCAACAGCCCAGTGGCCGGTGTGGGTCACCAGTGACCCTCGTCAGCCATAATGAAAAATGAAAAGAAAAGAAAAATAATAAATAATTCAAAAAAAATTTAAAAAAATATAAAAAAATTTAAAAAAATATCCACGCCAGCACTAGTCGTGTCACGTAGGACGGTCAGTGTCCACGTTAGCGATTTCTAAGCAAAATGGGCCCAAATGATTCAAATGGCAAATTGTCAAAATGTTTAAGACTAAATTGGCAAAATTAAAATGTTTAAGATTGAATTGGCACAAGCGCAGTAGATCTATGACTATTTTGGTAATTTTCCCAATGACGTACTTCGAGTTAGATTTTCTTTGGGAGTGCGGCAGTCTTTTTTGACGGGAGTTCACGCTCGTGGGGAAGGAGTGTTGAGCTGAAAGCAAAGGCCACATCACATGGGGCAACAGGCAACATCTAACCACAAGCTACCGGGGGTTTGCGTTGGTCCTAATCCAACTCAGGAATCATATCGAATTGAATTGAACCGGCTAGTTCTGGCTTCTGGGTGGTTCCAGGGGAGCTGACCCAGTTCCCGATTTTAACATAAGGAACCGACCCGACGGATCGGCCGAGACTTCTTAATTTTTTTTTATTTTTTATTCGGAAGCAAACCATTATTAGTAAACTACTTTTTTATTGTTGGGAAACTCCCACTTGTTGGGAATAGAAGAAATCAAAAGAAAAAGGAAATCACAGGTTCCAAGACCAGGTGAGCCGATTCCCAATTCCACAAACTGCAAACCGACCATGCTCGATCTGTTTCCAAGTTCCAGGGAACTGACCCACCCTAAAACCGATTAGCCCTACGAGCCACCAATTCATGGTGACTAGACAACAATTTATAGCCGTTGTTGTGTAAGGCCAAGTTTGTAGTAGTGAAGTGGTGGCTTGCACGTGGATCGAGTGCTGAACTCGGGGCCCTTTAGATAAGAGGTGTGCATGTTTGATGATTGATAGGGAACCTACCCTATAGGTATTGGTTCCAAATTTTTTGAATCAAAAACCTACTCTATAGGTTCTTGAAACCCCTTTGAAACTTAGGACCTGTCAGTTTCATAAAATTTGGGACATCACATACTATCTTTTCCAAGTTACACCGGAAGATCCATCTCTAAAGATACCATAGAAGTTTCACAGAAATAAATATGACATATCTGGGTTAAACTAGGTGAACCAAACAAGTTGAATCTGATCATTTTACTTCATTGTATTTGAGTTTAATTCATGCCTCAATCCTAAATCTCCAAACTTTGAAGCTATTTTATAAAGTTAGACCATATGGGTCCATCGGGCTAAACTAGAACCGGCTCGAACCGAATCAATACAAATTTGGACTTAGCCCGATCTCCCAGTTCGAGCTGTGCATCAAAAACTTTGGCTTGATAAGTTCGAGCCAGGCCTAGGAATCCCCAAACCCTCCTTGTGAACATCCCTAGTGCAGGTACATGGTTAACATATAACCCTAAAAACTACCATGTATTTCCCGATATTGAAATGTTGGAATCCGAAACTGATCTTGTAAGAGTCTAATGGTCACCTTGAAATCTATATGAACATTCTAATTCCCCTGTACGGCCCGTATATAGATCTATCTTAACATTCCGATTCCCCTGTACGGCCCTTATATAGACAATCATAGCTACCACCCAATATTTTCAAAATACATGGTGTCGAAGATTGGACCGGATTCATAGCCAATTAGGTAGTGAATGATGGCAATTCTGTTCGAGAATGAGTTACGAAAACAGAATTAGATTTTTCTATTTGGGTTCCGGGATGAGTTTACGAAAAAATCCGTTTAATAACGACCAAAAATTTATATTTCTGGAACAGAATCCCGTTTGATAACAGCACAAAATTTCTATTTCCTGAAACAAAAACCCGTTTGATAAACAACACAAAATTCTATTTCCAGGATTTCATTTTTTTAGAAATGGAATAAAAATAATTAGAAAATCCAAAAAATTCCTAAAATCTCAAAAAAATTCAAAAAATCCAAAAAAAATTCAAAAAATCCAAAAAAAAATTGAAAAATTCATCACAATTTCCAAAAAATAAAATAAAAATTCAGATTTCGGGAAAATAGGAAATTTGTTGAATTTTTTCAAAAAAAATCAAAAAATCAAAATTTCAAAACTTCATAGAATGGCTTAAAATACCTGTGGCCACCCACTTTTAGTGAAATTTAAATTTTTTTAGGTTCCCAAAAAAAAATCAAAAAATCAAAAATTTCAAAACTTCACAAAATTCTTTAGAATACATGTGGCCACCCACTTTGAGTAAAATTTAAATTTTTTAAGGTGCCCAAAAAAATTCAAAAACTCAAAAATTTCAAAACTTCACGGAATGACTTAGAATATTTGTGGCCACCCACTTTGAGTGAAATTTAAATTTTTTTAGGTGCCGAAAAAAAAAATAAAAACATAAAAAAAATCAAAAATTTTAAAACTTCACAGAATAACTTAGAATGCCTCTAGCCACCCACTTTGAGTGAAATTTAATTTTTTTTAGGTGCCCAAATGGTATTTTTTATTATTTTTATTTTTTAAATTTTTTCGGCACCTAAAGAAAATTAAATTTCACTCAAAGTGGATGGCCACATATATTCTAAGCCATTCTGAAGTTTTGAAATTTTTGATTTTTGCTTTTTTTGGCACCTAAAAAAAATAAAATTTCATTCAAAGTTGGTGGCCTGCGGTATTAAGCCATTCTCGTAAAGTTTTGAAATTTTTTTTTTTTGCTTATTTTTATTTTTTTCGGCACTTAAAAAAATTAAATTTCGCTCAAAGTGGGTAGCACGTATTCTAAGCATTCCGTGAACTTTTGAAATTTTTATTTTTTTATTTTTTTCGGCACCTAAAAAATTTAAATTTTGCTCAAAGTGGATGGCCACTGGTATTCTAAGCCCATTCTGTGAAGTTTTAAAATTTTTCATTTTTTATTTTTTTAGGCACCTAAAAAAATAAAATTTCGCT